ATGTGTTCGAGCCAACTCGAATTCAGGCCTTTCAATAAACGCATTTTCCCGACAGCAGCTTGACTGCCGTCTTTAACAATTATTCGAGCGACACTGCAATTCTGTCAGTTCAATCGGGCTTACAGAAAACTGGGATTACTCATGTACTCATGCAATATCAATACCTGCTAAAATAATGGGTCCAAATTCTTGTGCTCACTCATTGCCTTTAGGAAACACTGAAAATCATTCGCGGAACTAGAAATCCTCGGCTTAGCACACCACCTGAGAGCCGCCGAAAACATGTGTTGTCTTATTTAGCCATCTTCGACGAATGAATAGTTGACTTGTTCGGCGTAGCTTCCTGCTGCTTCCGTTCTCTGCCCGCCACAACCCGCCGTCTTTATCTGTCCCGTAGTGGGCACGCCAACCGGGCGAGATAACTGAGCGTGATCCAACTTCTAATATCACTGAGCGAGTGGCGAGAAGGAATGGAGGCAAGCGCTATCAACTCAAGTCAATCACTTTTTGCGCTTCGTCTGATTCGAAATTTACAAAATAAGGAATAAGAAAAGACATATAAACAACAAAGGTTCTTTACAGGGGCTTCGATCCTTTATTTGTAAAAACTTGTGGAGACCAATATATGCGAAGGTTCACATCAACCTCACTCCGTTCAATCGGATATTAGCATGCCCGGCAACCGCTACGAGCGTGCATGTTCCTTGAAACCGAAACTAGCACTGAGTTTCCGGGGCCTGACCAGCGTGTCATATTCGTCAAACCATCATACTTTCCCATACTAATTTTGGCTCGCTCCAAGTTATGGTGATAATCACGACAGCATCTAGACGTAAGCGGATTTGATTGATTGATATGTAGGGTCTAACGCCCCCAAACTACCATATGATTATGAGAGACGCCGTAGTGGAGGGCTCCGGAAATTTCGACCACCTGTGTTTCTTTAAAGGGGCCCTGCAGAATTTTTTGAGCATGGTCAGAAAACGCTGTCGATCGGTAATAGAGGCTCCCAACAGCACGCGGCCTGGAATTCACAATAAATTATCAGAATCCACTGAAAATTGATTTCTCTTTTCTCGAAAATCACGGAAGACGCTCAAAAATCACTCCTAAAAAGCCACAGACTTATTTGAACATGGCGCGCTCGGTCGTTACAGAAAACGCCGCGAAAGGCCGCGACTTGTCCACGCGTGCGCGCGCGATCACACAGGAAAAACGCAGCAGGACGATGCTTCTAGACGCCTCAAGATGCCCTGTACATACCTGCCAATTGATGAACCTGTGTGCACGAAAGAGCAGAGCACGTTTTTTTTTTTTTAACTCTTATTCTTACCCTTTGCCATCTGCTCGTCTTTTCTTTTCTCTATCTTACTTTCCTCGTCTCGGTGTTCCTTTTCCTCTTTCTTTTTTCTCTCGCTTTTAAAGACGATATTAAAGACGATAGTCTTTCTTGGGGACCTTCGACGCAAGAATTTTGGTCTGTCTGTCTGTCTGTCTGTCTGTCTGTCTGTCTGTCTGTCTGTCTGTCTGTCTGTCTGTCTGTCTGACTGTCTGTCTGTCCTCCACTGTTAACAGCATCGGGTATTTGAAATGGCCCACCACATCCACAGCGCCCACCAATGTTGCTCAAAATTCAGCATTCATACTTGTGCAATTGTCGATTAAAAATAGATTATTGCGCATGTCTGGGGCACCACAACAACACGTGTATATTCTGCATGTGCGCCTTTTACTAGAAAAGGCATACATATGTAATTTTAAGGACCGTAGCACTTATCACGCTGCGCTGACCATGCAACGCATGCACTAACAGGCGAGTGTTTCCAACGCTTTGCTAAAACGAGACGGTGGTGGCACCTATCCGTCGCCTTGCGTTCTACACCTTATCACCTCTGAGAAGGGGGCGCACACCTGTCTCAAAGCCACGCGCTCTGTTTTCCAAGAAAACTGCCAGATGGCGCTCACGTCTCACATGTGACGTGTCTTGATGCTCGTTAGCCTCCGCTGTACGCTCGAAGCACTCTAATGCAGCGCCTCGAGAATACCGTTCACCGATTTGCTTGCGCAGAACATCAAATAAATGCTTTGTTCACTCTCTCCACACACAAGACTATCGTCTTTCGACGACATTTGCAGATTACACGCAGATACGGGGCCATTTTTTTTCTCATATCTTAATACCTTATCATTTCTTTTTGGGCCTGACTCGGCTAAGTTCCACGGGTCCATTACTAAACGCTCCGCGAGGTATATGTATTCGTTGACCCCTAGAGAGATCCCGTTCACACCTAGGGAGACCAGTGCGCTACCTTTGCCCACATTTTTAGGGGCGAAGCTCCTTATGCCATGGGTCATGCGTCCGCGTAGTGTGTAGTAGTAGTAGTAGTAGTAGTAGTAGTAGTAGTAGTAGTAGTAGTAGTAGTAGTAGTAGTAGTAGTAGTAGTAGTAGTAGTGGGTAGCCACCTCCACGGCCCCCTGGATCAACACCACCGCGCGTGCCGATCCAGGCGGCCGTGCCACCTCTCGTTTAGTCCTTGAAATGTCCGCTAGATGGCGGTACTTGTATACAATAAATATATGATAAAAATATGCGAGATAACGGTACTTGGCGTGTTCACTAGATGGACGGACGGAATGATGGACACATACATACAGAAAGATGTACGGACGGAATCACGAGCGCACAGACTGACTTACGGACGCATGGACGCACGGACTAACACTTGGACGGACGGACAGGCGCACGCACGAAAGCACGTACGGACGGACGGACAGATTTGCAGACAGACGAACGGACGCACGGACGGATACACATATAAACGGACGGGTGGACGGACGCATGGACAGACGGAAGCAACGAACGGAATCAACGGAAGCACGGACGTACGCTTCGCCCGACTCATCATCATCGACTCTGCGGATATGCTGTGATGTTTTTCTAATTGGCTTTCTTATGTAAATTAGCACTTTGGGTGTTAACGAAACCCCCCTATTTATTTATTTTACATTGGCTTTAAGCCTGGTATGCTTGTGCACGGACAAGTTTTTCCCACATCTTCATTTTGCATTTATTTTATTAAAGGTGGAAATGAAGTTCGGAATAGGGTTAGTATTGACGTCATCTGCTGTAGTAGCACGTGTCCCTGCTGGTAATCCCCGTCTGGAAAAAAGATCTACAAGGCAGGAAAATGTAGCCAAAAATGACTCTGCAGATTAGAAATTTTACAGTCAATTGATGCAACCTTGCTTGAAACCCCACCGCAGTGGTCTAGTGGCTAAGGTACTCGGCTGCTGACGCGCAGGTCGCAGCAAAGAATCCCGGCTGAGGAGGCTGCATTTTCTATTGAGGTGGAAATGCTGCAGGGCCGTGTGCTCAGATTTGAGTGCACGTTAAAAACACCAGGTGGTCCAAATTTCCGGAGCCCTCCACTACGGCGTCTCTTATAATCACATGGTGGTTTTGGGACGTTACAATCCCACCTATATCAATCAACCTTGCTTGAAAAGGGCCAAGGGCTACAAGCTTTATGGTGTTTTTTTTTTTCAGACAGCGATTACCAGCAGGGACACGCGCCACTACAGGAGACGACGTCACTACCGACCCCTTTAAAACTAACACGCCACGGACGACGAGGTGCCTTTGACAAAGATAAGTCCTCCTATCGAAACGTCGACCAACCTATCTGAGGCACTTCCTCGCTTCATTCTGCATATCCCACTACGTGTCACGATCTGTCGCCTCCCATTTTGATTTTGAAGGCAAGCGATAAGTGAGTCGAGGAGGAGGTGAACAGAACAGGAAGAGATGGTGATTTGAAAAAAAGGGTTAAAGAAAGTAAAGCAATGTATGACATCGTCGCTGAGGCCTTCCCTCAGCTCCGCTGTCCCTTCGTATTTGCAACAGGAACGTCACACCTATAGAATTACATAAGCTAACCACTGCGCTCAGAGTCTCTGAAGAATTTTTGGTTCGATTTTGAAGTCTAGAACTATTCATCTGCCGCAAACAATTCAAAGGATATGCTGACAACAATCACGTTCGCCACATTCCGTGACTAAGCCTCTTCTATATAACACCCACCCTCATACGAAGCTTTGGAGAAACCTTTGATTATTACGTCGATTAGAGCATGCGTTGTACACATATAATTTGATTCACACATGGTGTCACTGTTTCATTAAACACGTGCTAAATGTATTCGCAGGTTAACCTTCTGAGGTTGTCTTTGTTCTATTCTGTCCGCAATAGTCTCCATGACATCGCATTTTCAGAGTCAGGATGTGCGGCTAATGTCTACGTTATGGTACGCCTGGTTCATCTACATGTCCCTTACAGGAAACACTATCTGCTTAAAATCAAATTCACAATGACGTCAACGTTTCCTGTTTGATGTTCTTCCCTGTTTACGGCAAAGCACACTAACTACATTCCTTCATATTTTTTTTTGCGGACTAGTGACGAGAAGGGAAACTTCCCCGACTTATGTGGTCCATGAATTTTTGTTCGCGGACGACTTCTTCATCTGGCAGCGGACCAGTGGCAAGTAGTAGGGCTCTCCCAATTACTGTGTCACATAAGCGCTGAAAGCTTTTGCGCACATAGGACAGATGAATTTTCGTTTCGCCTATAGCCATATACGGCTTCGCTTAAAAGGAAACAAGGAAACCTCGGGTCGATTACAGACAAATTGATTTCAATTATTTGTTTTCTGCAAGCACGCCACAAGGCACCCTCCCGCAATAGCTATGAGAGCCTCACGAAGCACTCTCTCTCCTCTTCGAAACGTTTGACGAACAAGACAATAGTACCGGCCTCACAATATCACACAAAGCATGACCTTTTTAAAAGAGAAAACTACCGTGGTAGTGAATTTGGGTGAATAAATACTTCCCGCGATACTCGGAGCGCGTGTTTTTGCACTGTGCAAAGATTGTGAATCAAAGAGGAAGATAAAGACGACGATTCGGCCTGCAAAGGCGTAGGCAAGTACAAAATTGCAATGAGCCGCCGTACCTCAAGCAAGGAGGCCTCGGAGGCGGTCGGCGCCTACCTCCAGCGCACGCGTGATTCCCGAAGCTCGCTGGAGAGTCCAAATTCGTCGCTGTCGCCATGGTACATCAGCGACCGGTATGGGGTAAGCCTCAGCACCATGACAATAAGGAGTCCCTATCAGCCACACTCCGTCTCAGGAAGCATGAGCGGCATAAATTACATGACGTCGGTATCATCCAGCATCATTCCCCGCACGCGGACGCGGCTCATCACAGCCAGCACGAGCGGTGGTGGCCAGGTCATTCACGGTGGCGGCGCCGACAGCGTGCCGTACGCTTGCAGACCGCTTCGTGTCGGGACCGACACTGCGATCACCGGCAGCAATGAGCCGTTTCCGTCATACGTACGCGTCATACCATCTCACGGTCACCTCGTCCAAAGCCACTCGTCTTCGTGCAGTTGTGGACACGCGTTCGTCCGCCACACCACTCGCGTAAGCGTTCGGGTGGGGTCCATGACGAGCAGCCCGGTGATTGCCGACCGCATGAGACAGGCGAGCTTCGGAAGGCGTACTACGAGGCGCGCTTCCTTTGTCACCGCGAAGCTATCGGTCTCTACTGGACAGGCTGCGCAGACAACCTCGACCTCCTGTGCTACGCTCGCGGACTTCAAGCAGCTCGACGTCACGCCGGGAGCCCTCACGAGTGCCCAAACGGACGCGGCCGGACAATTGGGGGTGACACCGACAGCATCAACTAGCTCGCACGACGACGTCGGCAGAGCTTTGTTCAGTGACTGGGCACACCGGAAGCAGGAAATGTTCGCGGACATATTTAAGGACAGGAATGACTTCTTCGCGGACCTGTTGAGAAAGCGCGTTGACGAAGAACACCAACCCATTGCACCCGCGCAGGTGACACTGTCTGCTGATTCTTCACACAGTGGACCATTTATGACAACCATATCCGAAGCGGGAGAAAAAGACGGCCCCGATACGTCTGCCGAAAACTACACTGTGCACAGCGCTACCACCGCGTCGTCGACAACTGAAAAGACTGCCGTTGAAGAAAAGACACCACTGCAAGCTTTGACGGCTTCGACGCGTTTGACGTCGTCTGAGTTTTACTCGTATGAATTTTCGAAAACTCAAGTTACCGAAACTCCAAACGACGGAGTTACAAAAGAAATACCCCAGCATAAAGCAGCAAGCCTGGACGGAAAGCTTCAGTACAAGTCATTTGACTTTCAGCCCAAAGAAGTTGTAATGGCTCCAGACGCCCCAGATGCTGAGACAGTGAAAGGAACAAGTGTGGATTTGTCAACCACAGAAACAAAGAGTGGAGAAAAAAAGGGGCGACTAGGGGAAACACTTCCTTTGGAGCAGTTTCATAGCACTAAAGCTATGCCAGTTTCCTCTGCAGAAAGCCTCGAAGCTGCTTCCACGCGCACTCAAGTGCCGACTGAGGCGAGGGGCCACAGCTATGTTCCTGCCCTTGCCGAATCCTCCTTCGAAACACCAGGAGCCACGAGCGAAGAACACCACCTGTTACCGACGTCCTTGGAAGGTCCGTTTATGTCGATGGCGTCTGACATGACAGATTTTCCCGCACTCGACTTGAGCAAAATGCAAGAACCTGATGTGTCGACACAGTCTTCCTCTCTGCAAAAACCAGATAACGGTGAAGTTCAGACGCAGTTAGCCGAACGACCGCAAACGGATCAAAGGGCGCAAATACAAGCGACTGGTAGTCTCCTCAAACTTGGAGCTTCGAGAGTTAGTTGCCCTATTCTTGAAGACCAAACGCCTCGGCCACAACATACCACTGAGGCAATAGGACAAAAAGAAATAGGAGAGCACACGAAAGAATGTGAGTCAAGAGAAGTGATATCGATGCCACCATATCGACGATCCGAGCTTGCTCTATCGGAACAGACCACCACCTTTGATAAGGGTGCCCTTGAAAAGCAGAGTGACCATAATCTCAAAGACGTTGCTCAAGAGCACCCGTCTCAAGGACGGCCTCGTGAAGAAAGTGACGCAAGAGATTTCGTGCCAAAAGAGGTTGATCTAAGTAATGAAATGGCTGCCTCAGTAGGTTCGGTCACAGTTTCTGATGCTGCCACAGCAGAAAAGAACAAGAACCTTCCACTAGCCAGTGATACTCAGGAGCCCACCAATCAAGAATATCCAGCAAAAGAGGAACACGACAAACGGGCCTCGAAAATATTGGCCGGGCTCCCAGAGCTAGACAGTGAACTAATTTCTTCGGAACACGCACCCCTTTCCGACGCCAGTATGACACTGCACACCGATGATATTCTGACGTCAACACAAATCGGTGAGTCTAGTACTGATGATAATGTGGGGATGAGACAAACTCCAAAAGAAAGCGGAGAAATCATACCAAGACGGGAAGAACGAAGCAGTGAACAGGGTCTGCCAGAAGAATCCGCAGTAGATGACGAGAAGTCCACAGAAAAACGCGGTAGCATTCCATTTACTGAACCTGCAGTGGGGCCCAGGCCCATGATGGAACGCTATGTGGATAAGAAGGAACACGACAAGCAGACTTCAGACGTTTTGATAGGGCATCCAGAGCAAGACAGTGAACAATTTTTTTCAAAACAAGCACCGCTTCCCGACGTCAGCATGGCACAGCATACCCCTGATATCCTGCCTTCAACACAAACTGGCGAGTCTGGTGCTGATGAACAGGTTCCCAAGAGAGACAGAGCAAAAGAAAGCGGGATAGAAGAAATCGTAGCGGGACACGAAGAACGAAGCAGTCAACCGGAATTACCGGACAGTTCAGCTGTATTTGAAGCACTGCCAACGGAAAAGCACGGTGGCATTCCATTTACTGAAGCTGCCGTGGAGACCGGGAAGGAACACTACGTAGGAAAGCAGGAACACGACAAGCAGACCTCGGACATTTTGGTCGGGCACCCAGAGCAAGACAGCAAACTCATTTCATCAAAACAAGCACCGCTTCCCGACGTCAGCATGGCACAGCATACCACTGACATTCTGCCGTCAGCACAAACTTGCGAGTCTGGTGCTGATGAGGATGTTTCCAAGAGAGAAATTGCAAGAGAAAGCAGGATTGGAGAGATCATACCAAAACATGAAGAACAAAGCAGTCAACCCGAATTACCAAAAAGTTCAGCCGTAGTTGAAACGCAACCACCAGAAAAGCACGATGGCATTCCATTTACTAAACCTGCCGTGGAGCTCATGAACGAACATTATGTAGCAGAGCTGGTTTTCGACAAAAAGACCTCTGATATTTTCGTCGGGCCCCAACAGCAAGACAGTGAACAAATTTCTTCAGAACATGCAGCCGTTCCCGGTGTCAGCATAACGCGGGACACCACTGGTATCGTGGCGTCAACGCAAGTTGGTGCGTCTGCTGCTGATGAAAATGTTTCAACTAGACAAGCTGCGGAGGCTAGCAAGTCAAAAGATATCGTGCCAGGACAGGAATATGAAGGCAGCGAGCCAGCGTCGACTAAAGGCCATGCTATACTCGAGACGAAGGCAACAGCAAGAGAGACAGGCATTTCATTTACTGAACCTTCCACGGAGCCCACAGACGATGTTATTATTAGAAAACAGAAGCCTGACAAAAAGATTCAGCGCAAGATGAGTAGCAATCTACAACAAGTAGGCGAACTATTTTCCACAGAACCAACACTGTTGTCTGACGTTGACCTCAGTGCAACGCAGCAGCCTTATGATTCTCTGATTCGACAGAGCGCTTCCGCTGCGTCCTATGAAAACACAAGTCAGCACGAGACTGCGAAGATAAGCAACTTGAGAGACTTCATGCCAAGACAAGATCAAGAAGGCGAACCAGCATCATCAGAAAGTTTTGCTGCATTAGAGTTAAAGGCAACTGCAAAACACGAAGGCATTCCATTTGCTGACCTTCCAACGGAGCCTACAGACGATGATTTTATAAGAAGGCAGAGGCCTGAGAAAGGAATTCAGCGTGACGTGAGTAGCTCCAGTTACCTGCAAAAGGGAGGCGAGCTAGTTTCTACAGAACCAACACCGTTGTCTGAAGCTGACCTCAGCACAACACAGCCAACTGACGACTGGCTGCTTCATCAGAGCTCTGCCGCTGCGCCTGATGAAAGCACATTGCTGCACGAAACTGCGAAAGTAAGGCACTTACAAGACATTGTGCCGAGACAAAAGGATCAAAGCAGCAAACCCGCATCATTAGAAAGTTCTGCCGAATTTGAAATGAAGGCAACAGCAGAACAAAACGTTCCACTTGCTGAACTTAGCACAGAGCCAACGGACGATGGTTTTATGAAAAAACAGAAGCCTGAGAAAGAGAGTCAGCGCAAGGTGTCTAGTGAACTGCGACAAGGAGGCGAATTAGTTTCTACGGCGCCAACACTGTTTTCTGACAGTGAATTCGGCACAGCAGTGAAATCCGATGATTCCTTGCTTTCACAGCATGCTGCCTCTGCGCCTGATGAAAGCACAATGCCACACGCAACTGAGAAAATAAGCAGCTTAAGAGACGTTGTTCCAAGACAAGAAGATAAAGGCAACGAGCCAGCATCATCCGAAAGTTCTGCTGCGCTTGAGTTGAAGGCCATCGCAAAACACGAACGCATTCCATTTGTTGAACTTTCGACCAAACCCACGGACGATGACTTTATGAAAAAACCGAAGCCTGAGAAAGAGAGTCAGCCTGCAGTGACCAGTTATCCGCAAGGAGGAGTTTCACTAGTTTCCACAAAACCAACACCGCCATCGGCCACTGGTGTCCGCACAACACAGCCGCCTGACGATTCTCTGCTTCCGCACAGCAGTGCATATGCGTCAGACGAAAGCATAACGATGCTAGTAGTTGTAAATTTAAGTGACTTAAAAGACGCTGGACCAGGGAAAGAGGATCATAAGAGCGAACGAGCACCGTCAGAAATTTCTCGTGTAGTTGAAAGAAGTGCAACAGAAAAGCACGAAGCGTTACTCAAGCATGCACTGTCCACTTCACTGGAATATGCGCAGCATCCAGACCACAAGGAAGAAAATGTTGAAGATCGGGCAGAGAACGTCAAGACTGGCGTGCTTCCCGCAGGTCAGTCTACAGCGTTAGGCCTGCAAGTTGGCCCACTGGGGGTGAAACGTACCAGTAAAGAAAAGACAAGTACAGGGAGAGAAGTCATCCAATGCGCGACTGTGGCGAATGAGCTTACGTGGTCAGCGTCTTTGGAACGTCCCACGGAGAATCCAGAAGGGGAACCAGAGCCAACAGAAGACGCAACACTGGCTACCAAGCCAGACATCCAGCAACCGAAGAAAGACGAAATCGAACGAACAGTGAGCGACTTGGTGGTTGGCACGTTTGACAAGGAACGCGGACCACTTCTTTCAGTCACGAAGACGGAGAAGCATTCATGCGAAATAACGAGCGAACGTACCCTCAAGCGGTACGGTGACACGAAGCCCATGGAGAGTGTGACTGGAGCACGTGAAAGTTTTGTGATTAAGGGGACCGAATCGCAGTTCTTCGATGCATCAATGAGAAAGTCGATCATGAGAAACGCACCAGAGATAGCTCGAGCAGAAGTTGAGTACAACCACTGGAAGTTCGAGCCAGACGTCTTTTTGGACGATTTAATGGGCAAAAGCGCTATCGAACCAACAGAGCCAAGTCAGCCTTGTGATTTCATCGCAAGGCCTTTCGACATTTTCGACGACGTTGTTGCAGTTGCAGCCATCAGCGCCACCGAAGCAGTTTCTTGGAAGCACTCACTGTCCGAAGACGCCGTCATACCGGTGGAATCCAGATTGACGAAGGAAAGTGTTCCGTACTGTCACGAAATAGAAATTGAAGATAATGACAACGCTTTCTACAACACTAACGGGGTGGACAAAACGCCCGAGAAAGCATCCTCGAAATTTGATAGTGACCCAATTTGCCCTCCGAATGCCTCACTAGTGGCAACGTTTAGTCTATTACCAGAAGCCGAGTTTGGATCCCTAACCAATCAGAACCAGTGTATGTGTCGGCCAACATCAGAGACAGAAAACACCGGCGCCAAACTACTAGCACGCACTAAAGAAAGCGACTTCACCATCAAAACAATAGGCACGTCTCAACGCCCGTCCATAAGCGCGCAAAGCAACTCTTCCGCAGATGAAATACTGCGAACGCTTTATAAGCCTCCGTTTCACTTGAATGGCAGTCTGTTCCAAAAGCAATTAGTAAATGCAAACGCATCGTCCGCGTCAATGGGAAAATATGTTTTTCCAAACGTCATGTTATCTGACAATGTTTGTAAGAGCCCGTTTTATTCAACTAATTCGGCATCCGAACAAAATTCAACAAAAGATAAAGACCTCTGCCAGGAACAAGTTCCAGAAGACAGCCCCTTCGACGCTTCTTCTGAAGCGCCAGTCAGTAAAGTGCAGGATGATGCGACATCTGTCAGAGTAACAGTAAGGAAGGTCTCTGTCGCATGTGTAGGAAAGGAGGACGAACAACTGTCTAAACCTGAAGACAAAACAAGAAAAAATGACTCGCGCCTAGTGGACGCTGCTACATATAAAGAACTTCCAAAAGACGAAGGCGTTGCCCTAAATGATGCTGATGATTTTCAGGGGAAGGCACTGTCTAGAGCACAGCGCAATGACTTGGAGCCACTTTCGCGGCCTTGTGACGGACAGTTGGCACAAGAACAAAGTCCTTGCCGAGCTCTCGCAGCAGGCTACACGCCCCCGTTTCACACTGAAGACGTGCAAGCACTGTCTGATAAGCAGGCCAAGCTGCACTCTGCTAACATCTCCCTCGAGAAAAATTGCGCACCATTCGAAACTGCAACTCCGCCTGTTCGAAAACCACCTCTCGAAACACCAGCTGCAGAACCGCCGACCACTGGTGCGTCTATAAACGAATCACCAGCGACCAGCCACGGGCCATACGCTTGCCAAGTGCTAGAAGTTAACGCGCTCTATTACGAGTACACAGCTCCGTTAAAAGCCCAGCAGTCACGTAAAAGCGATGCAGAACCAGTCTCTGCCATATTACATGGGGCTCAAGCAAGTTCCATGAGTCGCCAGCGTTGTTCTACAGACACGACCATCCTAAACACCCCTGCACCGTACGGGACTGAAAAAGCCAAACATGAAGATACCCAGCGCTTCGAGCAGGTATATATCCAGCAACGAACTTATTCCTCTGCTGAAGGCAAACAGCCTTGTAGCGCGCCAAGAGAGGATCTAAATGGACACGCATTCGCCGCCGACTTGCATAGCTGGTTCAGTAGTGAAGACGCCGCGATGACTGAGTACCCTATCGGCGTGCAAACTGAACCATCCGACAAAGATTCACCCCACTTTGAAGTTCCTCTCCGGTCGAGTTACTCAGATACCGAACCAGAAGAGAAAAGAGAATTGCACGCAATTTACGGGCCAGTTGCTGCTCCGAATAAGAGCAGCGCAGGAGGGAACGACGTCGCAGCTGCATCCTCGTTGCAGGAAATGAAAGAACCCCATGTAGTTGGCTCGCTTGAGAAACACGACGGTGTCAAAAACACAGCGGAATGTGCCGAAACGGTCATTGCCAGCGGAGCACACCAAATCACAGCGAGGACTTTTCTAAGCAGTATCATGCCTTTCGCGCAACCGCAGAAAAGCAGTTTAGCAGTCGCCGCAGGAACAGATGGAGCGGGCAAGCCAAGGACACAAAAACGAAGACTCTCGTTCAGCGACGTAGTTCCCGCCACTAGCGACGCAAATTTTCATGAAAAACAGATGCCACTGGTTGGTTACTCTAACGTCGCTTTAAAAGCAGATATATCACCCTCAGACACCAATCTTCGCCCGTCCGGAAAGCAAGTAACATATACGATTCCGGAAGAAGAATATTCCGCAGAGAGATGCGAAAGGTCCACTGCGGTGAAAAGCGACGCTTGGACTAAACCGGGTGAGGGTGGATTCAGAAGGCCCCACAGTGCCAGACAAAGCGTGACGTATGATGAATTAGACTATGACGAGCAAAGCTCAGGCAGCGTGGCCCGATGCGGTGAACTTTTTTCTAGCACATTTACGCAGTCGGCTCCCAACGATATCACCACGGCGACAAACGCTACCTGGAGCGCAGAAAACAAAGACGACGGACTGCAGCGTCCTCTGTACGTTGAGGCTGCTTTTGAGGACGCCAAGCGCCAAGTGCACAAGCCGTTGCTTTCTCTCGGTACTGGACGCACCGACTATAGTGACGAACACATAACAAGCACTTGCGATGATGAAACGGCACCTGTCGACCGTCTAGAGAACGCAAAGGGAGCAGCAAACAGCACCTTGGAAAGCTCAATTAGAGAGTTTGAGACCAGTGTGCTAGCAGGCGCTGCCTCCAGCGGTTCCTTAAGAAAAGGAGGTCTCCCCACAACAGAGCAAAAGACATGGCTAAGCAGCGTCAGTGTCGGCTACACACAAGAACCACGAGCTAGCGATAACACGTCTTCTAGCGGTGGAGATGGCTCGGATGACTTCGAACGCCTAAAGGTTCGCCTCTTTGAAAGAACCCTTTCCGAAGGTCCAGGAGATATCGCCGATGAGGATCTCCGGAAAAGCGAGCTCGCGTCATCGCTCAGCCCTTCGCACGTTGTTTGTACGGACACTCCGTTTACGCGGGAGCACGCATGGAGCTTTGATTCGGAGGTTGGATACGCCCCAGCGACTGTGCTGAGAGACGACGTTTACCGAATGAGCTTGCCGAGCTCAGCTGCCGCTGAAGGCCCCGCAAACGAAGGCAGCAAAATCGGGGTTCCCGCCTCAGACAAGGAGACCACGAAATCGGTGAACACATTGACGCCCGCGTGCGAAAGTACGTTAATCGCTAAAGAGTATGCCAGGCGACACAGTGAAGAACCGCAGAATGAAAATTATGATGCGATAGCAACATCGGTGCCACTGGAACGTTCCCGAAGCGAGCGCAGCGAGTCACCTGCTAAGCACAACGGTGAAAAGCGCATGGAACCTCTCTCGAAGCCGGCAGGCGCAGACAGTGAGGACGACGGCCGCGACATCAGTGGCCAATCACCAGACGCTGACGATGAGAACCACGAGGCTGTTTCCCGATACAAGGAGCTGCGATTCGAAAACTTTAGAAGGATCGTGAAATGCATGGCAGACCTGTCGTCGCGTAGCGAGGTAGACATCGTGTACGAATCGTTTGTTACCCCCGTTGGCAAAGTCTGCGACATGCTCGGCAGCGTTCATTACGATACTGCGTTCAAGGTTTGCGTTGTGGACGACTACGATTTAGCATCCATCATGCACGACCGCTGGAATGAAGACGCTGCCAGCGTGGCTCCTACGATCAAGACGTTTTGGTCTTACAGCCCACACAGCTTTCTGATGTCCGTAGACGAGAACGGTACGTAATATAGACTTCCTTTACACCCTACAGTAAACGGGGCTCTATAAATTTAGCGAATCAATACATAAAATTCTGCGCTCGTTATAAACATTATTGTAATTTAGTATGGGGAACAACGTCAAAGTAGAATTGCAGTACATTATTTATGCTACAAAAAAAACATTGCAGCGTGTTGCGTATGTTCCTTATGACGGCCATACAAGTCTATTAAGTGCTTTGTTTAATGTTTTCCCATTTCGTCACCATTACGAGTTAAACCTTGCCATGAAGTATAAAGCGTTAAACGAGGCCACAGTGTATTTATTCATCTTTGTAACTTAAACAAACCACATCAACTGAATTATGACATTAGAGAGCGTGAAATTCGGGCTGTCCCCTTTTCGCGAACCAATCATGGAAGAGACTAGCTACTGTACCGTATATCATGACTGCTTAACGATCTTGAAGGGGAAATATTAATTTAAATACTACTTCGCGTCGAATGTTAAAACAGTATTTTCTTATCCTTGCGGCTTTATGCGACTAATTTTCTGCCACATATGTGCTTGATTTTCCTTTCGTATTTCTTCGGTCCGGTATATCTTTTATTTTTGTGGTGCGTGTGAAAGTCTTCCTACATGCCTTTATGTACTTGAAAATTTGTATGGTTTCACCATGATACATATTTTCTACGACTGTATTCGTAAATGTTGTGAACTGTTCACTAAAAAAAAGTGCCTTCTGTGTAAGGAAAAATAGGAAACTTTTTGTTGTGGTGTAAATTTGCAGCACACATTTCAGTGTTTCGTTCGTTTTTTTTTTCTTTAAAGATAATCTGTATATCGATGCATTGCAGTTCTTGTGTGCGTATATTGTCTCCTGCCAAATTCTGAAGGGGCAGGGGCCTTCGTTAAGCCGTTATGATAGCGGCTTTTTGTTCCTGTCCTTGCATTTGTTTCAATATGAATACTGAAATAAAGAATCTGAATTCATAAAAGTGCACAGAAGAACTAAACGAAACACCGAAGCACTATTAGTTGAAACGCATTGTGCGATATTTCAATTACAGCACGTCACGTCAGTGTTCTACTACGCACAAGCGTGCATGCGCATGGTTCCCCTTCAGAGGCGGGGGCGACGGTTCGCCGCAGCGCCCCCCTCCATTGAAGTCAATGTATGGGGCAGTCTTTGCACCCCCCCTACCCTCTCAGGTCACTAGGCAGGGCGAGGGGGGGGGCGGAAACTGGCCGTACACGAAAATGCGACGATCGCAGGTTATGTCCCTGCCAGCAGCGAGTTGTTTTTTCGTCATATTTACTTTCTTCGTATCTATGTGCCAATCGTTACAATACACTGAAAACAGTACAATTAACGTCCCCCGATAACTTCCTTGGCTTCTTTACCAACTGCTTTTCATTAAGGTAGTGCTCAAACACCCAAGTGACACGTCGATCATTCGGTTAATCGTGCGTTTGGCTTCGACTCATCCATTTTTCTCTCCACATGCGCGCAAAGTGTACAGTAGGTCAATATAAGAGGGAAAATCGACATTTCGTTCAATCCAAAGTTATAGATTTGATGCCTACAGCCATGCGCACAAGGGGGGGGGGGGGGGGGTGAGTGGGCGGCCGCCCCTCCTAGTAACCTGATAGGGAGAGCGCAAAGTCCGTTCCATTCATTGACTCAATAGAGAGGGGGGGAGGGGCACTGCGACGAAAGTTGCCTTTCCCTGAAGGGAAACCCTGAGCACGCCTATGAATAAACCAATGTGAATCTAAGGTGTAGAATAGCATGAGGTAATTTTACACTTAAGCATTTAGTGCAATGAACACTTCTGTGCTTGCAGACTGCGTTCGGTCGATATATTATCTGAAACGCAATTTCAGTGTTTGCTTTCCCATTGATTGTGACTGTATACGTTTCACGCCACTCACAAACCACGCGGGCAGGTACGCAGTGCGGCATCATCAGCGCCATCGTGTTCGAGGACGAGCAGGCCTTCTGCGCGGCAAACAGCGTCAAGCGCGAGTTCCTGGCCGAAGGCGCCAAGCGGCAACTGTGGGATGCACTGCTGAGCGTGGAGCACGGCAAGAACTTGTTCACCGTGGTGCCGGCAAACGAGGTAGGAGCCTATTACCGCCACCTGGGCTTCTACACGTCGGCCAGGGGCCTCATCCTGCACGGAAGGCTAGCGTCAGACACGGAACTCGCGCCACTCGGCCAAGTCCCGCTGCCGGATGGCGTCGAAGTGAGTTGGTGCATTTTCCTGGAGTCCTCCGTCATTCATTCTTTAATGCAGGGGTTCTCAAGCATGTTGGTCCCAGGGAACCCCGCTAAGCTCCATTAGGTGCCATGGAGCCTCCCTTCCCCCTTGCTCTTATGCAAGAATTTTTCTCGGTTAACGCTACCTACATTCGCGTGCAATGAATTCAAAAGCAAATATACAGAATGTGCCAGGTAACTTGAGCCAGAGTTTAAAAATATGCAGCCACACGCAATTGCGACGCGACCAAATGCATGTTGCTCCCCGTTGCCTAGAGTTAGCCAGAGTATTCTTTTTGTGTTCTCAAATAGTGTTTATCTAGATATCTCTTTCTTTTTTCGCGAGACAAAACCACTCGCGCGTCAGTGCGCACGATGATTCAAATTCTCCCTAACGTTCCGCGTACGAACTACACGCTTCCATCGCACCGGTTCATGACAGCGATAAGCAGTCACAGCAGCTATCGTTTTTGTGGCGGATGGCAAAACGTGTTCATGGCAAAGCCACCACCATCGTTGCGGCCCTGTCGAGACAGCCCAATGGGGCATATGCTATGGTCGTTAGTACGCGGAACGTTGGGGACGAGCACTGGCGCACGAGCGGGTTTGTCACGTAGTATTTTTGTATTTCACGGGCATTTGTAATTAGCAAAAAACACTAATACTTAACAGTTATAAAGTTCAAAACTGTCTAATCAGACGTTTTGCAAAACCAATCTACAACTTTCTGATTGAAATTTCTTATCCGTCTTCGTTTCTTGAAAAGTTAGTTGAAGAAATGTATTTAAACAATCTTTGAGAACTCAAAAAATAGTCTGACTCCAGGCAATGATGAGCGACATGCATATGGTGGCGTCGTAATTGCGTGTGCCGGCATATTTTTAAACACTGGCTTAAGTTACCTGGGACACCCTGTATATATAATAAAAATTCTCTTCTAAGACATAAAACTAAACTCACTTTTCCTGCAACAACAAATCAATGCGATCCTCAGTAATACCGTAGTCACACCTCTATAGTAGTGCACGGGACCAGCCACATTTCGGCACCTATTGATTCAGCCGATTCCTGAGCCTATTTTTCAGATAGGCTAGTGCCGAGAATGCCTACTCACAAGCATATATTCATGCAAATGGCTGCAGCATGCCCGCTGCATTACCTTCGGCACCTGTCCTCAAACAGGAGAAATGCGCAACACAGCAATAAAAGATCGACATCCAGGCCAGTTTCCGAAGTCCAAATGGCTAAAAGCTGCTGGTGGAAGTTATTGAGCAGCTCGCACGTTTCTGTTATACACAGGGCAGTGCTTATTGGCACACGGGTGTGAGTAATTAAGTAAATCAATCTGGGATCGGTTTTCACCGTCTAAGTGTCTTGGTGAGTGCAGAACCAGACAAAAATTACGATTAGCTCGCGGAACACCGAGGTGGGACTTGCGGAACCCATTTTGAAGATCCAAAGTTTAAAGCAGACGGGATTTCAAGCACGTGACCCGCGGACACCTTGTTCGGGCCCCACTGAGCACGTGACGGTCTTCATCCTGTACGCTTGTCTCAGTAAACTTTCATGAGCTACATAGACTTGATTCGTCTCATTCTTTGCTTGAGCTACCTCATGCGGTCACAGCGCTGTAAATCATAACTGTGAAACGAAAATTCTTTTAAAACCAGCGTGCAGATTTCAGTCGTTGTAAAAATGATTATCCATATGTTTCTCGGAACCTTGCATCAACTCTCCTTCCTTATATGACATATAGAAAACGCTTGCTTTCAAATAGCAACATCAGCTGACATTTTGTTCCAAGTTCCGCCTACGCCTCCTCCCCTCGGACTTTCACTGTCGTCCTCGCGGGACGAAACTTCGTGTCTATGGCCCACTAGGTCAGGTGAGTTTGAGAACCCTGCGTTGATGGAAGAAGCACCGAGTGACACCCCTGTTTCGCTCCCAAGCACTTCTGCTCGAGTACGTACTTTCGGTTTTCCAAATATCCAGAAAAAAACTTCCGAAATATAAAACGTGCGAAACCGATGGTTCTGGTTCAAGTGAAGAGTTATATTGTATACATATGATGTCGGAGCGCAAGTTTATGTAGGATAAGGGCCAACTAACTGCCAGGATAATTTGGAAAAAAAATTGTTGAATATAGTTCATGGAAAGAACAGGTTGTTTTCTTGTGAGCAGCTGGGAATGTTGCGGCACCTGGCGATTCAGGCTTCAACCACGCCTTTCTGTCTACGTGACCTCCGAGATCGGCCTCGGCAGCTTGACGGTACGCGGTTAATTCTAGGAATACAACACGACAGACAAACGCCGACGTGCGATTGCTACCACCACACACATAGGCGTGTGCAGGGTTTCCCTTCGGAGAGGGGCGAAAATTCGTCGCAGCTCCCCTTTATTCCTATTAAGTGAATGTACGGAGCAGACCTTGCGCCCCCCCTCCCCCTCTTCGGTGAGTTAAGGGGCGCCACCTGCAGCCCTCGCGCTCCCGCCCATGACCACAGACTTAAGTCAATAATTAGGGCCCCGCCACGGTGGTCTCGTGGCTAAGATACTCGGGTGCTGACCCGTGGGTCGCGGGATCAAATCCCGGCTGCGGCGGCTGCATTTTCGATGGAGGCGGAAATGCTGTAGGCCCGTGTGCTCAAATTTGGGCGCACGTTAAAGAACCCCAGGTGGTCGAAATTTCCGGAGCCCTCCACTACGGCGTCTCTCATAATCATATGGTGGTTTTGGGACATTAAATCCCACATATAAATCAATCAGTCATCAATTAGAGTCCACTCCGATTTTTATATCTGCGGATAAGCCCCACAGAGGACACATAAAATCTTTCGCTCGTCAAAAAAGGTTAGGGGGGGGTAGTAAATATAGTAAGGACAAGGCGCTACTTCTGCAGCCTTCAAGTATGGCTCAGCATCTGCCGAAAGGGGAATTGTGAAAGATAACAGTGAGTGGTACATAGATGGAGGGAGGGGAGAGCATGGTCTCTGGTTGTCTGGGGACGTTGTGACGGGCTGCAGGTGTCTCGTACCATAGGTGGTTCGGGGGAGGGGACGCCCCCCCTGGTCACCTGAGAGGAGGAAGCAAGATCAGCCCCACACATTGACATTATAATGTGCGACGACGCTGTGACTCAGGGGGGAGCGTAAATTCAGCCCCATGCATTGGCTTATTAAGGAGGGGTGCGCTGTGACCAGCCTCCGCACCCCCCCCCCCCCCCAATGAAGGGGGACCCTGAGCACGACTACGGCTCGTACAGCCGGCTATCCTGCCCAGTGTCGCCGTCGGACTTGGTGCTGCTGCTGGGCAGGGCAGACCATACCAAAAAGGGCGAATGTTTGAATTCGCTCCACAGCAGAGGTGACGAGCGGTCTCGTCCCTTGTTCGATAATTATAAATGGTTCAGATCTCCTAACCTGTTTCTACTCATTTATTCGACTACTTTATTGCCAATGGCACATGGCAGCGCCATGTTTCATTGCTTAACAGTGCCCCAGCAAACTCCAGCAAAAAAACAAAACAAAAAAAAAAACAAAGCCAACTTCCTGACGTCGCGACTAAGCGCACGCCGCTGACTGTTGCAGCTTTCAAATTCGAATTTTTCGCCCACTTAGTCGCTTTAGGTTAGCATTACATTGCCAAACTGAGCATTTAAGCACGACACACAACACGGTGTGACTTACTCCGTGCAATAGTCTGCAACACGCACTTCATCGCGGCTTCATAAAGTGTGCTGGCATATTTAAATTCTGCCCAGAGTTAGCTGGGGCACCCTGTAGCTTCTTTTATTTCCCCCTTCTTTGCGGATGTCGAAGACTCAAAAAAAGGGATTGAAAGATCAAGTAATGCATACACGATCTGTGTACTTCAGTTCATGCTATCTATAGGCAAATTTGATGTCGGAACTTGATATCTGATCAAGGCATTCTATCATTTTGTCAGCGTCACACCCATAACGGCAGTTCAGCGGTCACAGAGTGATCACGCCGTTGATCATCAGGTTGCTGGTTCGTTACCTACTATATATAGCGTCCTCGCTAATTCATAAAGGCTGAATTCAATAACGTTACGCAAGGTATATACCGTGTCCCTTTGTGCACATCGAAACCCTATGTGGTCAAGATTAGTCTCAAGTCCCATGCATATCCCATTATACTGTGCTACTGACCGAGTAAAACTGCACATTTTTCAAAGCGTATCACGGGAAAAAATGTTACCAGTCAACCTACATCCCTAGTCCTCATGACAACGTGGCATACGCGGAGTGAACCCCTTGTTTATAAAGTGACTAAAGCGACAACAAATAGAAATGAGACTTTTATACTTTTAGTGAACCACTCACTAAACAACTCCAAAAGCACCACTTTTACCGCACTCGCAAAACGCTTGGCCAGAAAGTAAACGCGCAAGAAAATACAGGTGGCGACGCCGCCTTGACGTTCCCGTACTATATCTCTCCATGAGGTACCAATTCACTCTCCGACTCCGGAACCTCCTCCTGTATACTCAATTGCAATAACCAGATTTTTTGAAAATAATAAAATTTCAGATTCTGATGACGTCATAGGTTTTGACGGAGTCTGCAAGTACCTATGTAATCGTCTGTCGCTAAAAATTTACTCGCATTGCGTTATTATAGAGACGCGAAGTCTTAACAAGTTTCAGAAAAACTTCACAGAAACAACACAGCCAAAATGCGCAAAAATATTTTGAAATTCATGACGTAGCAGTGACATTCAAGTGCTGTAGTTTCGGTGCGAAATTCGAACGTTTATGTATATTGATTGTTGGTGTTTTACGTCCCTAAACCACGACATGATTATGAGAGACACCATAGTGGAGGGCTAGAGAAATTTTGACCATAAAGTGTTCTTTAACGTGTACCTCTAAGTACGCGGGCATCAAGCACTCTGTCTCCATCAATCGAAATGCGGTCGCCACGGCAGGGGATGGCGACGGAAATGTTGTAGGCCCATGTGCTCAGATTTGGGTGCACGTTAAAGAACCCCAGGTGGTCTAAATTTCCGGAGCCCTCCACTACGGCGTCTCTCATAATCATATAGTGGTTTTGGGACGTTAAACCCCACATATCAATCAATCAATCAATCGCCACGGCAGGGGTGCGATCTCGCGACTTCAGGTCAGTAGTCGCAAAAGCACCATAACGATAAGACCTCCGTGACGGGCATGGGCGTACAGGGGGGGGGGGGGGGGGGGTGCGAAATCTGCTTTATACATTGACCTAAAGAGGAGGGGGGCTCTGAAATTAACTTCCCCTCTCCCCCCCCCCCCCCCTGATTAAAACCCTGCTCACGCCTAAGGTGCCATGTAAACATGAAACTATGACCATCATCTTTTGTTCTATTAGATAACCGATACGATGGCAAAATTAATTATAAACGTGCTCTGAAGAAAACATTGACACGTCTGAACTGATCTGCAGTTTCACTGATGTCTCTTTTAAAGCGCGTTCCGTGTGGAAAACGGTACGATCTCGGCGTGCCTCCTCTTTCCCCCAGATCGTCAAGTTCAAAAAGCAAATGTACTCGTCCCTGCTGAGCTTCGACAAGAGCACGCTCGGGTTCGGCCGCAAGCGCTTCTGGAGGATGACGCTGCGCGAGGGTCCCATCTCGTTCCGCGTGGCTCTGCAAGGAGGCAGCGTGTGCGGCTACGCAGGCCTCCAGAACGACGTCAACGGCGTGCCCGTCGTACGCTGGGTGGTGGCCGCCGACGGGCGGGTGGCGATGCGCCTCCTGCACAACCTGCTCGCTGGGTCGTTCACGTTCCGTCAGCGCGGCGCCTGGATGGCGCTGTACGCGCGCAGCCACGCGTCGGCCGCCCTCCTGCGGCACCTGGACACCAGCGGCTTCGAGCCGTGGATGCTTCTCTTCAATCGCCGGGAACCCTTCCTTCAGTACAAGAACATAGCGGTGCTCACCTACATATGAACAGCGACCCCTGGTCTTTGTCTCGCCGATGTGACACATGTGCGGGGAGACTTTCGCTTGATTTGTTATTCGTTATTGGCGATGAAACCGTGAAACTGCCACATGCAAGAACGTTCTGGTGGCGCTGCTTCCCTCGACAGCAAGTTATAAACACAAACCTTTATTTATTTATTTTTTGTTCGTGCGTGTAAAAGCGGTATTGAGCACGGCGCTTATTTATGGGCGCAGCTAAACGTTATGGCGGCATAACAAAAATCGCTTAGCATATATTAACAAAACCTTAGCCAAGGTAAAGACTACCTTAGTAACGTTGGCTTAGCCATACGGCGACATTGCCACGCCTGGTAAGCAAATGTCAACAGGTGAGGCCTTTCTGTAATCGCTAGCAACTAGCGTCACTTAATATCAGTAAGCAACACCTTGATAAGCCTGCATAAGCTCGGCAATAGGTTTAGGCACGCCTAAATGCTCAGTTTATGAATAACCCTGACTGCTAAAGCTTTCACTGAAATATATTCACCAGCAGTAAACGAAGCTTCCAAAACGTTGCGATCGATAATAATAATGTAAAGACGCACAATTTTGCAGAGTGGACAACGTGAAAACGTTGAGTAGCAATAGCGAACTATGTATAATTCGCTCTATGTTATAATGCGTATCACCTGTTTTTTTTTTCTTCGTATTTTCAGTAATGGAGATGATAAAAGCCTAACACAAAAAAGCAATGAAATTAGGAGATGTAGCCAACTGTAGAAAACAGTTGATTACTAAAAGCAGTAATTGAAATCATTTTACGGGGTCACCGAAATTTCAATCATTGCAGCAGTATTGAAACTTTTCAGCAGTTGATTAATGACAGTTGAACATTGGGTTGATTTGTTTGTATTGATTGATGAAGAGAAAGGCGGACAGTTTGAATTCCAAATTGTAGTAAAATAAACCCCAATGCAAAACAGCATTGCATCATTCACACAAGTGTAGGCACCCCACTGCAATCAACTAGTTAACCCGTGTGCACCAATGGCGTAGATTGGATGTTCCAGGGAGGTTCAACCACCCCCACCTACCCCGAATTATCCAATTTCACATTTGTACACACATACAAACACATGCACCAACACTTTGTGAATTCGGTAAGGGTGTTCTAGTAGTCGAAATTTCGATGACGAATAGAATATTTTTCTTATTTACGTGCATTCAATACAAAAGAAGCCTATTCAGAACATTCGGCACCGGCTGAATATGCAGTCCAACAGGTGAATATTTGACAACTTGCAAATGCTGCATGTTCCGAATTTTGATGAGCCCCAAGACCACTTTACCGAACGGTTATTGAATGACGTCAGTATCCGAGTTCACTGCAGCAAAAGCCTTAGATGTCCCATCAAAAGTCAAAATTACCCGTTTGTGTAAATGCGAGTGATGCTAAAAATCATCACACAGTGAAGTTACCAAATGACATTAGTACCATGTTGCATAATGTGACAACACATGACATTATCGCATGACATGGTAGCCAAGTAAAGGCTGGGCCTACTCTGGGGACAGGGCAAAACTAAGCGTGGTGCAGAAAGTTTGCAATCCCTACAATCTTCGAGTCGGTGCATAACCACGAGAAGTGCAGAAAGCTTTCGGAGAGGCGTGTAAGGGCAGGACAATTACATCCGCTTAAGTGTGCAAATTGCGATGCAGTGTCTGCAAATGCATCAAACTCATGGGACATGATTCCAAGACACTCGGAATTACATTCCAAGAAAGAAGAAAAAGGAATGCATTACACTGCGAGTTTCAGCACTTAGTCTTACTTAGTGTGTGATTATTATCTAATTATTCTGAAACCAGTCGGCTTCAATTCTTGCATAGAAAGAGTAGATTATTATATCCAAAATGCCTGCAACTTTTGCAGTTTCTTTTGTGTGTGTGTGGTATTCAATTCAAGCAACAAAAAAAATAGTCTAGGCGTTGGACCTGGCATGTGTCACGTCAAACATGGTAGTGTCTCCCGTGCAATGTGATCTTCCGCAGCATTACGCAGCACAATGAAGTTAAATAGTCACTAGTTGTCCAGTCAGGAAGCATGCACAAATGTGTGCATCGAGTTTTAAGCTATATAAAGAAGCACATGGTATGTGATGCACCTCCAATGTTGATGTGTATTATCAACAGCAAAAGTTTGCGGGATGTTGGATCCACAACAAATGCCAAATTCTGCTATATTAGTGCCTAATGCTTGTAACCAAGCGGGTGACTGCATAGTTCAAGATGGCAAGTGCAGTATGGTTCACTTATTTCAAAATTACATTCCCAGACAAAGCAGGAATTCAGTTTTATCGAACATTTCGCATCCCGCAAACTTTGACTCTAGATAGTACATGCTGCCGTAGGAGGGGATGCTTTAGTAGATCTACTGGGAAAAAGAAAAATGGAGAACGCTTGCACTTTGCCTTCAAGAGCAGTACGGGAGAACGTAATTGGGCCCCATTCGCATCGCTTTCTCATTCGCTAGCCTGGCTTAGCTTCTCGTTGCACACGTGAACTGTGCCACAACGAAAGGACAACTGTGCATGAAACATTGGCCACTTCAACCTATCTTAGGATACCTACTGCAAGTACAGCCTGAATCGCACTTGTCTAGAGTGGCTTAGCGCATGGCTGTAGACGCTGTCGCCATCCGCAGCTGCTACCTCGCATAGGCTACGAGCTTCCGTTCACGCTTGAACTAAAGCACAAAGACTTACACACGGTGCCTCTATGGCTGTCATCATTACTGCATCAGTCCCTGCATGTTTTGCAAACAAATTATGCTAGTTTCACACTAATGGTACCAAGCCTGAAGAAAAAACATAACTGAGTGGCCTTTCTTGTTTGTCTTTACTTTTGTAGCATAAGCTACACTGGCTGAGGTTGAGCAGTTTCGCGTGGTTTATAGAGAGCCAGGCTGTGAATGTCCAAGCAGCAGCAGCAATAACTCACGAGAAAACGACTACTCAGTATGAAGTTCACATGACCCGATGCCTGGGGCAACTCTAGCCTCTTCCGCGCGATATTTCATGCGTTGAGACCTTTCCCACTACATGACATTTGTAATGGCCACAAGGTCCTCCACTGCAGAGGCCGCTGCTGCGATCGTTTTGATGTAGCAGATAGGATGCTCCTACTCGCCTTGCTGGGTAGTAGTTGTGGAACACAACATTCGGGTGTAATTGCGCTGCGCAGCATTAAGTTCTCAGCGAGTGAAGTTTAATTTGGCGAGCTAGATATATCATCACCTTATAAGCAGTGCAATGTTGCGTGCAAGCAGCTTCTAGCAATAACAATGTAATATGTGAGGTTCTACATCGCAAAACCACGATATCATTGAGGGACGCCGTGGTGGAGGGCTCTGGATATGTAGACCATCCAATGGCATCTCACAGTGCGCGGAACTCCAACATTTTGCCTTTATCTGAGATCGAAACAGTGATTGTAGGGTCAGCAACCACGTACTGTAACCGCTATTCTGCTGAAGCGGACTGCAAGCAGCCTCAGTGCCAGATGTATGCAACAGATTCCGCTGCAAGTTGTCATGATTATACAAATGCAAATAAATGCATGACACTTGGCTGGTAAAGCCGAAAAGTGGGAAAAGACTGCCAAAGCTAACTAGAGGGTCCACAGAAAGCACTTTACTGATGAAGATTTTCGTGTACGCCACCGGAGCTAATATGTTCGATAACAGCTAGCGTATCCTCACAAGTGCTTATAGCAGCTCATCCCGCATATTTGTTGATGAATTTATAGACAACGGAGAATGACAGGTTAACTCTAAACACACAAGATGAGTAATAAGAACGCCCGCATCAAAAATATTTCTCATGGCAAGGTCCTTACGAAACAAATATTTTGGTATGTTTAGGATTCTATTGAAGGTGCTGAAAACTAACGATACACTGCCAACAAGTGTAACCCAAGGCGAAAAGTACATATTATCAGATGCATAGGAGACCCGTGCACTTTAATGTGATAGTAGACCACTAAATGCGAATCTGCGCTTTTATTGGATGGATGCACTCGCTCCAATGCCTGCTCGTGTGATAGGCACCTGCTAGGAGCCACAGCTGTAAAATGTGTTCGCTCTAGGCACACTTCCTCTTTGGCTCGGCAGTCAGCCTGCTTCGAGTACGAGTGACGCAGACAAGGCAGCATAGCGGAGGCCTCTGAAAGCTGCTGCAGTGTGCGCTCACACATGGCATCTCGATATGCTCTCAGATGCGTATCGTGTGGATCACATGCAACCAACCACTATCCGAGGAACCTGTATAGATCTCGTCTTTGCAAACTTTCTACTATGGCCTATTCAACAGCCACTCACCCTTCACTTTGCAGACCATACAGCAGGTATAATGAAGTTAGGTTGTGTATATATACAGTGTTTCTCACTTCTTTAATGGATCAAGTGGGTCGAATTAACGGAGGATTCATGGTTTACCTATGTAACTCCAGAGCTTCGCCCACTTATCATTCACTCTGTCGATATGCTGCCATATTTTTTTTATCAGGTTTCACCAGCACATTTATTCATTTGCGGTGATTCGTTCCACTCGCCATTCCCACTGTTCATTGAGTTGTTTTTGCACTACATGCATAGGGGTATTGCAGCTCAGCGGCACGCTTTCCTCGTTGATGCAGGTTCGCTTGCTATTTTTAAACAAAGTGAGAACTCACCCAGGGAAAGCATTTAATAGCGTACTAGCAGCTCAGCTTTGGCGACATTACTTGCATCATCCTCTATGACATCAGGCGATTGTAGCATGCTACACGTAGGTGCCACTGGTGGCACCGACTTGTGGTTTGCTTGCCTGCTCATATTCCTTGTTTTAAAAGACGACTTTCCTAACAAGGGAGATATACGCGCAGAGCACAAAACACAAAAAAAATTCCTGCATCTCGACTGAGTAGATGATGGTGAGGTGAACGAAGCTCCGGAGGTTTCTCGGTGATACCCTGAATCCTCCGACGAACAGCGTCTGGGTCCACCCGGCGCCGCGCGCGCTTCGCCACCGCTTTTTGCTCTCGCATTCCAGGGGAGGAGGGTCCACTTCTCGTTGAGCCCATTTCGCAGCAACTTCCTAGGCACACACCGTATCAGGATCCACTTATCGTTGCACATGTTTCGTATCGGCATCCTTGGCGTGCACCGTCTCGGAATTCGCTCAGCGCCGTGCTTGCTTGGCGGCAGCCGCCCAAGCCATCAAGCGCAATCCGACACGTACGGCGACGATCCAGACTAATGAGATGTAACGGATGCGTCAGCCCAGCAGCCAATCAGAGAGCAGCGGCACTTCCGACGCATTCTAGTGTCCATTCACCCAAACGCCATGTTAAACACATCTCTATGGTACGGCACTATGTAGCAAACTAGACGAGAAATGGCGATGACAATAAATGCCTACAGCACCATCTAGCATATCGTCAACCTACTGGAGTTAGCATGCATCTTTATGAGACAGTGTCATCTATTGTATCATTAAGGAAGACACGACTGGGTATGCCTGTAGGGACGAGGAATTTCCCTAGACCATAAGAAGCTTCACCCCTAAAAACTTGTGGTGGCAAAAAGACCCCCCCCCCCACCTATGAGTGTCGTAAGGACGTGCGGCACCACGCTATGTCCTCGAGGCCAATAGATTTGTTCCAAAACAGTGTGAAATGCTGGCATGGCTCTGAGATAGAACACTGATTTGCCTCGCGAAAGGCCTAGTTTCCGTTTGCCTAAAAGCCAATGGTTTTTAAGAATTATTTGCATCTAAGGCCAAGTTCGGATTCACACTCGCAATGAAAGTTTTTAAGACTCGTTTGCATCTATCTCGAAGTTTTGTTCACAGACAACATCGATCTTTCGCCCACGTCCGAGGAATTCTGGCGCAAGAAGCTCTCTAACACTATCGCTTTATTTTAAAGAGCAAAATACTGCTTACGCCTTCAAGTCGTCTTAGGCAAATGTAAGTAACCCAGATATTTTTTATTTCCCGAAACGACCGACATAAAGGTTTCTTGAATCCGTCGAAAAGAATTAAACTTGCGGGGATTCGTCCCATTTGAACGAAAACGCCTTATAATGGGATGCAGCGAAGTGGGTAGTTTTTTGTTTTTTTCAGAGTGGTTTGCAATACTGCTGTATCACTTTTTGAAGTGTGACACCTATTCTTTTTAAAAATAATCTGTGTATTACACTGTCGGACAAAACCAAGTCTCATAAGTGAAGGAATACTAAAGAACAGCCTCCACATCACACACTACCTGTACAGTTCACAAGCACTAAGCACACATTTCATTTCGCATTCAGAGAACTGAGTTCATGCCACCACTTTTGGAATACACAGGCTGGTTGGACAGTATTCTTCCGAGGCAAGCAGGTATTTACTAAATGAGATGAATAATTTATTATCTTTGTAACAAAAACACATTGATGTTGATGAGGGTCTTCAGGTGTTAAATTTTTAAACGTCCAGCAGCTTCTGGAGGATAGTCACGTGCACTTGTAGCTGTGCAGTCTCTTTGAAAACAGCGAAAATAGTTGAGTCTAGGTGGTGATCGTCTTTGCCTTTTTTGATGCCTGAAGAAGAGAAGGGTCGTAATATCCTCTATAAGCATCGCAAGATATCAGGACACTAGATGTGTGAATAAGACACGTAAAACAGATGCTATGCGAGTACAATTAGAGACCATAATATTATCCTGTGAGTAGTAATATGAGAACTAAGACTGTCAGAGGCTGTTTCTAATGGCGGTTTTTAAGAACCAACGGCTTCTTTTGCGTAAAAACTAAGCCGAATTTTTCTCTCACAGTACTTCTTGATGTCAACGAAACATCATTTCTAAACTGCAATCTTTTAAAATTTCCAAAAAGTAATGATAAGTTTCCAATAGGTTCAAAAAATTATTTACTGAGTTCATTTACCGCAAGGATGATAATAGTTTTACCAACAATTTAATTTATATGGAATGTTCATGAAGTTTGTTGACCTGCGTTAATATATATCTAGAGCTGAAATTTCATGCAAATGCTTCCCCGATAAATTCAAAGGCCCCATTCTACTGGCATTTGAATTGTACTGTACTGCTGTGCACACTGAACACATTGCTGTGCACTCTTCATGTGAAAACAAAAGAAATACAGGTCTGGTAGAGTAAAATCCACTTACATCTGGCGCTGGCGTGGAGGTGAACCTCTGCTTTCGCTTAAGAAGCCTCTCCTTATCCTCCAACTGTTAAAGCCAAAGAGAACAGAAAAGCATACAGTTAAGTCTCACTATGATAATCATGAATTCGGTAAACCAGGGGTGCAACAGCCAAAATTGAACTTGGAGCAATTTTTTGAGCAGCAAAATGTTGCTTTTGGAGCCCTAAAATCAAAATTTGGAGCAGGTTCCGGGAAGGAAGACAAATTTTTATCATGAAAGATCGAAATTCTGGCATTATAAAAAAAGAAGGCTCAAAAAACAATGTATGCACAAAACATTCAAAAAACCTAAATCGTGCAGAGTGAACAGGCACTGCTATATCAATAAATGTATTCTGAATTACACCACTCAGCGAACAATGATGAAGTCCACATTAGCATTTGCTGTGCCTGTTGAATCTTTTGACAAACTCAGCAAATTCAAATGAGGGTCTGCCAAGCTGGCGACTTCGGAATTCGGGAGATTCGTAAAACCGAGAAGTAGGGACGGGGAAAAAACAACTGGCACATTACTTTTTTTAGGGCGACAGAAATGTCATGCGCTGCTCCAAATGATTGCTAGTAACTTTTTTAGACGTCAGTGATCAAAGCAGTACTCAATTATGCTGCGCTACACGCATCAGTAATTGAACAATATGTGCTATGTCCAGTGACTAGCACTGACAGCCCCTCACAAATCCTATTACACTTTTCCGCGGGGCACCGATGTATTGCGCCGAAGGTGGCTTAAGCACCATTCTGCACGGGTTTGAACAGGGCCAAGCAATTTGCAAAAAATTTTGTGGCGGGCAGGACAATTTGGCACTCGTGGCACAACTTTGACGAATTTCATGGTTTTGGTGCAGCTCGGCGCAACTATGGAGAATCTTATCAAATGGGCGCAATCAGCACAACTGTTGCACCCCTCGTAAACCTTAACATAGAAAGTTGTTTAAGATGATGTTCGACCTTTTAGGCAAACTACCGTCTATAAAAAATTCAGTTTCACACATGCTGCAAAACAGTTGAACAAAACAGCAGTAAAAAAACAAATTTTGGTGGACTCGAAATCTGATGACAGTTTGATGCCGCACTGCCAAAATTCTCTTCATATAACCGGTGCGACACATGTAAAGCCAAAAGAATTGCGCAGCTATGTATAATGCACTGTGGAACAGAGATTGAAGAACGCTAAAGCAAAGTTATTCAGCGATAGCGGCTTGTCGAAATGACTAGTGTTGTCTTGAGTAATGCTGTGCTGGTGCTATCATGTTCACTAAAGCGAACCACACATCTTCCATTTAGTCTGATTAACACTTGACACTAAGAACTGTTGAACACTACAAAAGCAAAAAAGCTGTCGTCTAAAATTGCATGAAAACAAGGTGACAACCTGAATAAAGCCACCTCCACTTATGGTGGCCACTCTATTGTGACATTGCACTACAAATCGATTGAGCTAACACAACCAGCACTAGTGTCTCGATTTTTGGTCACTGCTATGCACTTTCAACTTGCACAGAAGTCTTGTAAATTGGCCCCCCTCACCACGTGCTCTCACAGAGCTGGTGGCAGTGCAGCTGGCAACATCTAACTGCTTCAAAAGATACTGGTTGGCTGTTTAAAACTTGATGCCCTTGCCAAACAAAATTTTATATTGAGTAAACGTGGGTCAGTTTTGATTGCCTTTGCTGGGAACCCTTCTACTCATAGCAGGGTCTGGAACACACCATAATCACCTATCGTACTAACACAGCTGCGCAGTCGTTCCTGCCTCGTTCTTCTCGCGAGTAGAACCACCTCCCCCCTGAAATTGTTGCTATTAATGACAACCATCTTTTTCGTGATACCGTAGCTAACATTGTATACGCAGGACCTATTTAATGTATTTTTGTTTGTACGCTGACTTTTGCTTATATTCGTACTAACGCTGTATTTTTCCTTCCCCACCATGTACCATGTGTTATTCAATGTAATCCACTACCCTCTGTAATGCCATTTGGCCCTGAGGGTATTATAAATAAATAAATAAATAAGATTCCAAGCAAGCACCTCATTACCCTTTCCGGGAGACTTGAAATATGTGCCAATGAACGAGCAGTGCCTTCTCACCCCTTTTCCCAGCGGCCGCAGTCTATAGTTCTTTAAATTTTATGCTGCGTGGCATTCACGAAAATTATGCACAAGTCGACCACGTCAACACTGACACCAGCAGAAGATTTATTATATTGCCTTGCTCTTCCAGTGTGGTAGCGGTGAAATTTTGTTCGTAGCATCAGCATTGCAGAAGAGCCCGCTTCGTTTCAAGGAGGCTCAAAATACATGGCTGTACAGCGATGATGTTTTAACGCTGAAATACATTACATTGAGGATCTCGTTCACTATATAGTGGTTCAATTGTAGTGGTCAATTAGCGCACCTCCATCTGAGCCGACAGCAGCAATTCTGCCCCCTCCCCCTTTCCGTAACCAGAATACAAAGTGATAGAGGGACAAAAGGATCCCACATTCATTCAGCAGAGCACAAAGGGATAGATGTATAGAAATGCATCGAATAGGCAAGGTTAGCATCAGTCCTAAAGTTCAGACACCGTAATACGGTGATGCTACTGGCTTAGGCTGCTTTGGAGCAGCTTTTGGAGTAGAAAAAAAAAATGGTTCGAAATATCAAAACTGGCTTTCGGAGCAGATATTGACTAGAGTCAACTTTAAGGCCCCTATTGTGTTTTCCGAAGAAATCTGTAAACAGGGGTTGTGTCGAGCCGACGTTACGACAAGCGGTCTTGTGTTCCTCAGAACAAAACTGTTCTGTTCTAGCCTTGAGGGAGGCAAGTCCACTTGCCGAAACGTCCACCCGTCCCAACCTCTGTTTATGAACTTTTTCATCCACCCCTTCCTTACGTTTTTTTTTAATACTGCGTTCATAACACAGGAATGATAAAATTACAATGTGCTGCACGCTATTCAAGCATAATAGGAGTAAAAAAGAAAAGAAAATGATATCCCCAAGAGATAACCAGACTATATTTAATAGACAAAGGCAATTATAAAATTTAAAACCATAGCACTTCGTTACGTGATTGAACATTCGTCGACTTCCTATTTTTGAGAAGCAAGATTTTAAAGACATGATAGAAAATTCAGACGATTTCACGACAGCATCACAAGCCCTATCAACATCTACGGATAAGAACATCTAAAATTTTCGGCAATAAAACTTTTCGGCATCCAATTTTTTGGCTTTTCAGCCGAGATTCCTGGTATGAAACAGTGTTAAAGTACCTAACTTTCCTACGTCTATCACCTTGTAGGCTTAAACGAGCGCTTTCAAGAATCGTTTGGCATCACAGTAATCTCCGAAAGTCGGCTTTACTGCAATGCAAAAATGATATGGCGTGAAGGAGATAAAAAATTCGAAGAGGCTGGTATCACCGTGAAGTGAGGTGAAGTCTAACGGTAAGCACCAGAACTGCTTGGAGGCGTGATGACGGATATGCGGCAAATACGCCAGCAAAAGTTAATCACTTTATTATAAGCATTTTCAGCTAACTACTTGTTACTGCATGTGGCGCAGTTGTCGGCATACTGCACGCTTTTAATTCCTCACGCAGGCTACCTTTCTGTGCGAGTGCCGCCAAGCTTGCCGCACAGGCTAAGTTCGCCTTCACGAATGAAAGCAGCTCGCCATCGCCGTGCCCGTGTGCCATCAGGAACATGATGGGCATCAAGAACGCTTTTTTTATGACAAACACGTGCGTACGAAAGCGCCTTAGTAGGAACGGCATCAGCCGTGGAGGCTATGTGCTGGACACAACTAGGAACGATCGGTCTCGAGTGGCAGCAAGAGCTACGTGTCGCTCGCCGGAGATGTTCGTACAATGGTGCATCTTCTAAGTGCACACACGCATCGCAGAAGTCCGGACAAGTATTCCCCTTTTCTTCCACATCCTTCATGTTCTGCGTCATTGTTTCCACATGTTCTATGCAATAAATCCACAACTTATTTCGCAGCTTTGATGGTGTTGGCAGCGCCCATCGCAGCAATGCATATTTGCAAATGAATGTTGGCAGGCCCTCAATGTATTTAAGACAGCCTGAGCGTGCACCGAAATGCCTGATAATGATGATGTGTGGTATTTTATGGTGCAAGGGCCAATTGATGGCCAAAGAGCACCATTTCAGTAGACTATAGATGTGCACAATGACATGGTGCGTGGCTACATAGGGGCCTCAAAGTTCCTCACGCTAACACGGGTAAAAACATAGAAGCATTAAAATCATGACAGTGGCACGAAATATGTGCAGTGAAAGTGTAAGGCGAAAGGTCATGATCATAAAACCATAGTGGGACGTAGTCACCGCAGCCCCAACCTCGGTACAGAGGTCGTGCTAGGGATCAGCTCGAAATATTCAGTGAAAACTGTGTACATCATTTAAAAACCTAACAGTGATTGAAGTTTAAAAATCTGATCCCTACCGATGAGCATCCCAGGGTGTAGTGGGAGCTGCTGTCGGTAGGGTAGTAAAAAGTGATTTTTTCTCAGAGCATCTAACTCATTGCACTGTACGAGAATGTGGAGAACCATAAGTGGCTCTCTACTTCTCTCACACAATGGCGGATTGACACCAGACAAAAGGTATGAATGTGTTGAGTGTGTGTGTCCTATTTGTAGCCTTGCAAGTGTGAAGTGTGTAGCGGGAGCTAGATACTGTTGGCCAATTTTCAAGTATTGGTTTAATAACATGTAGTTTGTTGTCTGTTTGCCTATCCCACATGCACTGTCATCACGCCCTGAGCTCCCGTCATAAGAAAGGTTTCATGTCTAGTGCAGGGACGGCCAGAGATGTATTGGCGGGTGCGTGGTCGTGTGCAGACCCAGCCAGCTGGCCGCCACTACGTTTCTAGCGATCTCGCGGTGCCCTGGCACCCTGCACACCACCTGTCGTTTGAGGGCGTAGATTGAGCATAAAATAAAGTAAAGTGATATAAGGACAAAATTTTTGTTTTTTCAGAGTTTTCAAAGCTGTTGCGACGCTCGGCGAATCT